CCCATCCTGTGCCAGTCTTTAAAACATTTTGAAGGTTTTGCTTTAGTGTCATTTTCCAGTCAATGGGTCAGGGTCAAAAGAGCTGTGCGTTACAGTGGGTTTGGTGAGTAGGGCCTGTGATGCCTCCTCCAGTTCTCACCATGTGGCTGCCCTAGTCAGCGGTTGCCCACCTTAAGATACACACAGCAGAGCAGGGTCAGAGGGGCTGGGGAAAAGGATGATCAAGCCCAAGCCTATCAACCTTATTTACTATTTGACTTTAATTTTAGTAGAAATGTAAGCTCTCCAAGCCATTGGGTACCTTCAAATAGCACTGAAGAAAAGCCATGTAGATATACATAACACTTTTTTTCTGTAATTATAGAGGCTAGGCTATGTGACCTCCTGCATGCTCTAGTGATGCCTTATTGACTACCTAAACACATACAGCTATAGGGCACTCTTCAATCTGAACTGGAGTGAACCCTTAATCAGTCTGTTTTCTCCACAACAGTATTCACTAATAATTTTTTCTCATCTTTAAGAAATCATAGGCTGGTAATCTCAATTGCAGTCAAGGCAGGGAAACCTTTTCATTAACTTTTACAGACCAAGATCTGAGCCACATATTTTGTGAGGAAGATGCAATGCTTAGCTCAGTGACAGATAATATTATGCACATATATTTAAACAAGATGGTCTTTAATTTGACCAAGTCTAAAAATAAGCCTTTAATACCTGCTAATTTAAAATGACACTTGGAAGAAAGCATTGCCATCCCTCTATGGACCTACCAGGGTCAGGAAACAGAGCTTCCTTCTCTCTTTAGGATTTCCCATGCACCATCTGACTTCTGTGACTCTCTCTGCAAGGATAAAGCTGTTTTGCAAATGACCAAATTCTCGCTTTTGACACGATGAGCAGATTTCACCCCACTGTTTGAGTTCCCACTGCAGCACGAGGAATCTCTGCCTTCCCAGATGTGCAGATGGCATGGTGGTCAGGGAGAAATAGGGCCGTGCCGTGGGGTCCCTGGCAGCATGCACCCTCAGGGTGTCTCCTGTGCTGGCAACACTGCTGGCTGGCTGGACACACCTGGGTCATGCTACCCGTGAACAGCAGGATAGGCAGAGAAAGAGCCTGCCCAACTCATCTGGTTGCTGCATCTGATCTACTTCGTGCTCTGCCCACCTAGCTACAAATCCAGATAAAGTCTCCAATAAGATGCTTTAAGTACAAAAATACCTCCTTTAAAAGAAAAAGGAGCTGGCCTGGAAAAGCAGCTGATAACAAGCTGAGGCTCTGCTCCTGTATGCTTATTTACAGGCTTTGACTGATTTCTTTATGCTTTGAGTTTCTTTTTCTAACAGGAACTGGAATACTGACTGGGGCACAGTTCTGCCTAATGGGGAACTACCTGGTTTTATTCAGCTTGTCACCATTGTAAGCTCTGGCAGTTACATGATAAATTTGTGTCTGTATCTGAAATTGCTCTTTCTTATATTTAGCCCCGTCTTCCATAAGAAACATTACCTATCCTGTTTCTCATAGCGATCAGAAAATATGCAGTTGTACCCTGGACTACTCAACTCATTTGGAGGAATATACTAGTACCAAATACATGTGAAGGAGTCCTATAAAACTTTAATTGGTCAGCATCTCTTTCTCCTACACCTATTTACTGGTACAGAATTTAGAGATACTAGTAAGCATGCAACACAGGATAAGCTGTATTTTGCTTCCTGTGCCATTCTAATACTATGTTTTGAAACATTTGCTGTGTAAAATTTTAAATTTCAAAACTGTTAAGCTGAATCTATTTCTGCTACAAAGTCTACTGCAGATGAAGGTATGTTCAGGAAAAAGAGCAATATCACATTCAAATTAAAGGAAAGATCTGTTAAAGATCAAAGTAGGCCTGACCATTCCGATTCCTTTTTGGTGGAATTAGAAAATTAACATGTGAAGAAAACAATGTAAATCATGTGTAAATTATGTCATAGAGTGTCTTAGAAAATATTTTTATAACTGAATCAAACTGACAGGGAAAGTAAGACTTGTTATTTGGATTTTTCAGAGAACCTTACTGTTGGATAGCAAGCAAAAAGTAAATACTAAAGTAATTTATGCAATTGCAGCAAGTTGTTTAGTCAGGTGCTGCAGGGACCATTGTTAGAACTTGTTTTACAAGCATTTAACATTTTCATTAATAATTTGAAAGAGAAGGTTCATAACATGCTAATTAAATGAAGAGATAATTCTAAATTGAAAGAAGTCACAAAGCATCAGTGAGGACTGAGACATAATGTAATAGGATTGAAAAGGTTAGAAAAATAAGAAAGAGAAAAGGCGATTCAGGTTTAGAAAAGTGCGGTCAGAGGAATCTTATAAAAACTGCCCTGTACAGGAGAGAAGTGAGTGAGAAACAAGCAAAGCAGTAACACTGAAGGAATAAGTGAACTAGATATTAGCTGGCATGTGATGCGGAAGCTGCAAAGACTACTTTGATTCTGGGCTGTCTGTGAAGAAGTCTGTCCCTTTGAGAGCTTACAGCAACTTTTAGGTGCTCAAGGATGGAAGGAGCCTCACGCATTCATTTATGAGGAAAAAATTAATAGCGTTCCAATCAAGACCAGACAAATGGCAAGTGAGGTTGTGCTTAAAAAAATACATGTATTTGAAGAATATAAAGACCAGAAGAAAACTAAGACTGGAAATTTGAATGTGGTAGAAAGTCTTCAGTGGGGAAAAGAACTAACATCGTCTGGGATACATAAAGCAACAGTTCAGTGTATCACTAGACAAGGTAGTATAAAGAAATTTCTATCAGGCATGAGGATCAATGCAGTATAGCTTTTCCACCTCCTATATATTCTCTATGATTTCATTAACAGTTAAGGCAGTAACTTCTATTTAACATGAGTTGAGCTTTTTCCTAAATCTCACTGGAGTGAGTAAGATACATTGCTGCAGTGAAATTTAAGCACACTCTAATATGAAATCAATGCATCCCAGTACTTAAGAGTTTTCCTGCTTTGACTGCAAGACTGCAGCTTTACAGATGGTCCAACAATCCACTGCAGCATTAAGAGGCATTTTCTGTTTGTTTTCAAACACTGAAAATATAATTTGCCTGTGCACTAATCCCAATACTTTATAGTACATCTCTTCCATTTTTTCAGTTGTGTCAGCTGATCCGTTGTACTACATTATCTCTCACTAACACCCTTACCTCTCTGCTGTACATGCCACAAATGACATACAGCAGTGCTTGAGTAAAATCCTAGCAATTTAGGAGCCCCAGTTCCAATTTCAAAAGGAAGAGAGGTAAATCCCAGCACCTGAATTTTGCTGTCAGCTCAGAGACAGGCCCTTTGCTATGTCCCGGTCCCTGTGCTCTGGGGTCTTCCCCACTTTCTGTGCTCACCTCTGTAACTGAGCACAAACCCTAATTCATGGACTGTCAGAATTGTCATATTTCTGGTACCTCCTCTGGGAGGTCAGTCTCTCCAGGAACATTTCCTTTGGTAGAGGGTGCTGCAGTGAAACAGCTCTTATGACTGTTTAAATTGTCTCTCAGCTGGAGTACTGCGAACCACTGTTGCAGGACTGAGGTTTGCACAAGCCACATGTGAGTAATACTCATATGGCCACAAGAGCCAAGAAGGCAGCTGGAGCAGATGTACCTCACTAATCCTCTGTACTGCTATGCTCTGGGTGTAAGACTTCACTGTACAGCAGCCTAGGGCAAATGTGATAACAAAACATGTCCCGCTAAACAGAGTGGCAGAAAAGCATAACTTTCTCCTCCACAATTCACAGTTAAGCACACAATTTGTTACACAGCTTCCTGCACATGAGCATCCATGGGTAGAAAACATGCTACAGATTCTAGCTGTACTTTCATTTTTTTTATCAGACAGTAACTACTACATACACCCTTTCTGCAATATATATCAAGCGCATGCCACATCTCCAGGCCCCTCAGTAGGTCTGAGTACACACATAAATTTGCACATCTCAGTGTACCTCCATGAGGCAGCAAGGCCACGCCAGAACTATAGACAGGTTTTATGATGTGACATTAATTAATTTGTTATGGGTGCTCTTGAATACCATCCTTTTTCTTTTTTCCTCCTTCTTCTTTCTTTTTAATTAAATTCCATTAATGAAGTGTTACCCTTTGATTATATTCTGAACCACGACTGACTCAGCATACTTTACTTGTTGAGGTGGGAAGTACCTAATTAGGATGCCAATCTTCTTTCATGTTATTTCTTTATAATAGAAGTAGTACTTCCAGTTGCATTGGAGAGGTATGACTAGAGGCAGTAGATGAACAGAAATCCTCCTTAGAGAAGGAACACTGTTAGCTGTTGCCTTTCAAACCATCTCATCTCACAGAGAGGTCTCTTTGCTACTTTTCAAAGAAGAAATCAAGGGACAGGTTCTCCAAGGCATTCAAGCAGCAGAGCAAGGGTATCCATTCAACTACATTCAGAATTTGTGCACCTCACAAATTCAGTGAACCTGCTCTGCATGTACATCCATGCACCAGCAGTAGCGAGCTGGTGCTTTTTGATAATAAATACCCTAGAATTAGCTGCCATGGGGATTCTGGGTGTTGACAAGAATATGGATGGCTGGCTGAAGAGATCATTTAACCCTGCTAGTAATGAGCTCATTTGAAACAAGCTCCCCACTACTAATTATCACTTGGTTCTGATTGATTTATTACCTACTTTGATGCTCCTATTTCATAAACAGAACATGAACTGCTGAGTTTAGGAAACTGCATAATTTTCAGATTTTCGTAAAAACAGAACTGCCTTGATATTGTGTCAATACTGCCAGACTGTCTTTCTTTCCTTTGCTCCCTGTATGTGTGCACATATACATGTGTGAACATGTGATTATTGTGTACCTGTGTATGGAATGCCTATATAATATTTTAATACAGACAATATTGCAATCTAGCTTATATATACACATTACACTAGAGCAATAAGAATTTTCCTTACCTATTTCAGTCATGGATATCCCCGGAGCTAATTGCCCATTGTTGAAAGAGCTATAGGTAAACAAGTTTGGTACAGAGGTGAGGTCATAGATAGGTTCCTGCTTTATCTGTTTGATTCCAGTCATGTCTAACCCAGACTGGTCTGGGGAAGGCTGGGCAGAATCCACGTTATAGTAACCCTCAGACTTCGGCAGGTCAATGATGTGCCCATTTGAGTAGGTGCTGCCAGTTTCGTTATTCAGGTTGCTCAAGCCATTGCTGATGCTGTTGCTGTAAACCCTGGCGAGGGCTTCTGCCTCACCGCTCTGCTGCTGCCTTTGTTCCTGCAGTCGCTGCTGGTGCTTCTGCACTTCAGCATACAAGCTATCCCTCTGCTTTTTGGACATTCTTCCAAACTTCACAGCTGAAAAGCAAAGCACAATGCAAACCGTTGTTGTCTTTCATTTTTTCTTGATTATCCTCAACCCCACCACTCTTGACATTTACTTTCAGCATTACTTTATCTGTGGAAACTTGTCTTTTTCTGTGGAAATTAGAGAGGATGCAAAGCTTTACACCATATGCATCTCACAAAGGAAAAAGTATTGTGTGCTTGGATTTACAAGGTGACGACAATGACTCCTATTTGACAGGAGGGCCTCAGTCAAGCAGCTCACTTCCCGCTGTGAATATTAAAAAGCCCATGCATCCTTTTATATCTCTGTGTTCACTGAACAACAACCCAGAGCTGTATGAAATGTACAGTCTGTAGATTCATATCCCATGTGATTTACCAACTTTCCACAAACCTTTAAACAGTGCACTAACAGGATTAGTACTCTGGATTAAAACAAGCCCTAAAGCCTTATTATCTCATCCTTTCAATGGGGTGTTATCTTCACACTTTTTAAAAAAAAATCTTACCGGTTAGAGTTAGAACCTAGAGGAAAATAACAGATTTGAAGGTAAATAGCACAAATGAATGTCATCTTTTCCACAGAGGGAAGACTCAGGGATTTACACAATCAATTTACATAATCTCCATGCACAAATCCATGCATTCCTTCTGATGAGAAAGGGAGGAAAACACCAGAGTGCAAACCACTCTCCCCAGGAACAGGGTTCATTACACTGAGATTGAAATTTTCAAAAATGATAGGCTTGATTGCTGTGGAACTAGGAGGAGTTCTAAATCCACAGACTGCATATACAGTGGGTCATGGCTGATTATCTTCCCCCATCCCCCCTGCCCCATCTTTCTATAATTTCTGGCTTTCTACTGGGCTAGATCCTGGGATCTCAGAGCAGACATAGTTGTTAATTGTGCTCCAAAACTGATGAAGGATACATTCAGCATAATTTATCAGAGCACAGATAAGATGATGTTGCTCTGGAAATACTAATTTCTACATATTATAAGGTGTATTTTCCAATGCTGAGTATTTCCTGTCCATCTGTAATTGGAATCAATTCAGAATCATCACATTTATTAGCACAGGATGGGCTTGGCTCTCATTTTTGCTACCCTATAGTTCAGCTATAACCCTCGAGAAGAGTCTGAGCCTACACATGTGGATGAATGTGAAAATCTTCAGTCGGGACAAAGAATAGAAAAGGAATAGTGTAATATGAAAAGGCAGTGCCACAACACCAAGGAGATGGCAGCCTCTTCAATTTATTTGCACTTTTTTACGCTAAGATTTTTTTTTTTTCTTGTTGCCATCGTCAGATTACTTGCAGCCCTTCACACAGCCTGCAAGCTACCTCACAAGAACACAGTCCATGGTGCACTGCACTCCCTTACAGACAATATACAGTGACTGTATTTTGAAAAATGCAACTGTGTATTTTCTTCAAATTTAGGGCCTCAGTAATAAAAACAAACACCCACTGTTTATTCTCATTATATATTCATTAATTGGATTCTCCAGCTGCTGTCAATTAGCATCCTGCCTCTGCGTGATAAAAATGAATCTGTTACATGGCTGAGAGGTAAAAATCACATTCAATTTCTCTGTTAAAAAAATATATACAGCGTATTTTAGACTTGCAAGAGCTCTTAATATTATTAGGTATAAACACCCTTACATAAACAATGAGAGAAGAAAGCAATACTGTCAGAAGAATTGCTCCCTTTGTCTGTATGCAGTGGTCCCTGAATTATAGGTTGGGAAGACAGTGCTGTCAGTCTCATTAAAATGCCCCTGTGATACCTCAAATCATTGGAAGATATTACTCTTAGGAGGAAAGCATGTGCTGTTAAATTACTGAAATGTTACTACTTTAATCTCCTCCGGGAAGAATCGGGAGCTAAGGCATCAAGTAAGCTGCATCCTTGGACCAAAAAGAGTTCAGGGATTAAAGGCTAGACTGAAAGGCCCCTTCCAGACTGGTGAGACTGGTGAGCAAATTGTTTCAGTGAGACATGAGACATGCTGAGGTAGGAAAAGACCTATTACAGTCCAAACTTAAAACAAGTTTATAAGCTGTGGACCATATAAAGAGATAGGTCTTTCAATAACATCTCCATCAATGACTGTTAATTTCAAATGACACATTTTGTGTAAACTTTCTAAGACAGAAAATGCTGCCAGGCAATTGAAATTAATATAACCTGCCTTCAAAAATAAAACATTTTCTTATACTTCCTGACTGTTTAAAACGTGTCTGTGAGCTGGAAACCCCCAGGAAACTGAAGAAAGCAGTGGTGCCTGGGGCAGGTTGGCTGTGGGCAGCCTTGCCCAAACCTCCCACTGCCCGCAGCTCTGGTGTGGTGCACATCCTCAGTCTGCAGATCATGGCTTGTCACACCACAGCTTGGAAGGTGGACTAGAGCTCTGCAAGGACCAAAGGATCCTGCTATTGGATACATTGTGGAGCTTTCCTCTGTCGTAGTGTCCATTTTCAGTGCTAAACTATGAAATGTTTCTTCTATAGACCCAGATGGGGACAGGGGGCAATGTACAGGTAAAAAAAAAATGGGTTTTTTTAGCAATGCACAATATTTGCTCAAGTGCTCTGAATGAAACAAAGAGAAACCCCTAATGCTATCAAGGTGTAAATTTCTTCTTAACTGCCTATTTACTGTCACAGACCTTTAGAGATCTCAAGGAAAGGGATGCTTTCACACATCAATATTTAAGATAAATATTAATGCCTAATATAAGAGGCTATCTAAACTGGAATATAAATCCAGCTCTTCAGAGGTGACCTTTTTGTGCTTTTGGTCAGAACAACACATCTCACTTCTGATTCTTTCTGTTCCAAACTAATACTGCTCTCCATTTCACAATTTCCCCACCCTCCCCATGAAAATAGCTTCCTTTGTTAACTGAATGACAAAGATTCGTGTCTCACAGTGTGTGCATTACAAAGCAAAGAGCTTCTTCTCTCTCTTTTTCCAGAAATCTACAGGGAGTTTAAGTCAGCAGTGAAGAAGAGTTTCAAAGGGTTTAGGCATGAAGCAGGAATCTTGACTCCTTACCATCTCGAGACATTCCCAGGGCAAGACATTTCTGCAGTCGGCAGTGTTGGCAACGATTTCTGTTGGTTCTGTCAATTAAACAGTTTCTCTGCCTTGGGCAGGAGTAGGAGGCATTGTTCTGCTGACTCCTCCGAAAGAATCCCTAGGGGCAAGAAAGCAAGAGAGACAGAGTATTACCATGTGCATATATGTGTGCACACACACACATGCACACACACAGAGAACCATGTACATGACTCCAATATACTCTTATTTAGTGCAATGCTACTTATGCTGTGGCTTTGCAGATGTGTTGGCCTTTTATAGTGAAATTAAAGAACATCTACTTATAACAAGGAGAACTGTGCTTTATTCTGCAGAGAATGTAATTCTACTTTGTTAAAACACAAACAATAATGTTACAGAATGCATTCTTATTGTGCAATAATGACTATGTATCATCGAATGCTTGCTCCTAATAGAGGAAAAGCTTGTCAGCATTTGTTAACAGATGACTTAAAAGTACTTGTTCTGACTGTTTTCTTCCTTTAATGAAAAGATTGGTAATAACCAGCACTGGCTATGCATAGCGTTAGAAGCTGAAATCTGCTGTTCATTTTAAGCTGGCAAATGTTGATCTGATCTGGAGGGACTATACACTTCAGGAGTGAAAAGTAATTCAAATTCAAGCATCACAAAAGCACTAGGATTTAATGACTGTATCAAGTAAAGCCAACACACAAAGAAGAAAGCAACACCTTTAGACACTACCATGAGAAAGTAATGACATTTTCCATTTCAATGGAATATAAGATTATCCATTTTATCTATGTAAAAATTTGTAGTTATTCTATCTCCTAGAGGTTTTTCTGGCCAGCTGTGGGCTATTTTGCTAAAGATCAGACGGCTAGAAGGAGAGTATTAACCCATACCTAATGCCTTACGAGCTCCTGGCTTCTATGAATGACAACGAGAGGTACCATTATGGCAAAGGTCACATGAAATGGCAGACGTGACAAGAGGAATGAAACCAGGGGGTGAGGATTATAGAGTGAAAGAGAGAGGAAGAAGGCATTTTATAATATTCTTTTCTTTACTGTAAAATAAAGGACAAGAGGAACAGCAATTCCAGAAAGAGACGAACAAAAGAAGTTCCTTGACCACTTTGGCATCTTTAGGTGTAGGCAGCTGGGATAGAGTTAATTTTTTTTCTAGGAGCTGGTATAGCATTATGTTTTGGATTTAGTGTAAGAATAATGTTGATAACACACCGGTGTTTTTAGTTGTTTCTAAGTAGCGTTCATACTAAGTCATGGATTTTTCAGCTTCTCATGCCCAGCCAGCAGGATGGCTGGAGGGCCACAAGAAGTTGGGAGGGGGCACAGCCAGGACAGCTGACTCAAACTGGCCAAAGGGGTATTACATACTATGTGACCTCATGTCCAGTATATAAACTGGGGGGAGCTCGCCAGGGGGGGCAGATTGCTGCTTGGGAACTAAATCGGCGTCAGTTGGTGGGTGGTGAGCAATTGCATTGTGCATCACTTGTTTTGTATATTCCAATTCTTTTATTACTATTATTACTATTTTCATATTTTTTTTTCTTCCTTTCTGCCCTATTAAACTGTTCTTATCTCAACCCACGAGTTTTACTTTTTTTTCCAATTCTCCTCTCCATCCCACTGGGTGGGGGGGAAGTGAGTGAGTGGCTGTGTGGTGCTTGGCTGCTGGCTGGGGTTAAACCATGACAGTGGGGTTGTGTGGTCGGAGAGCTGGAGGATAGCCTAGCCACTGCAGGAGGCCATAAAGAGAAAAAGGGCAGAAAGCATCATTACTGCAGTTACAGTAGTCACCAGAAGTGATGCCAAAGTGGTTGTGCCTTTCTGGACTGGTTTGCAAACAGCTCTGAATGGAGCCAAAATGCAAGAGGCGACTCCATTTATCAGTCAAAACCACTGTTATCTCTGCACAGGCTGACAGATGGTAATACTGAGCAATGGAAATTGCATCAGCCGTGCGTTTTGGGGGAATGAGAGTGGGGAATTAACAAGGTGACAGCATCACAGGGCTCAATTTGCTTGCTACAGGAAGTACCTGAATTCTCTCTCAAGTCCTCATGAACCCAATGAGGATGGTGTGGGGTATCAGTAACAACAGGTGACAGGCATGCTGTCACACCAAGGACACCAGCAGTGCTAGTTCCTGAGGTCAAGCTTAAAGAGGCTCACTTCATCCTGCCTGTGGTAGTTTTACCAGTGACTGTAATATATCTAAAGACAATTTAGTCTTAATTTAAACTTAATTTAACTTAATTTAAAGTTTCATGATTTGCACTTTTGAAAACATGGATGTCCTTTAAGGGAACTCTTAGAAAAAATCTGGTGGGGACTTATCTAATTCTGGCTGACCAAAACTTCCCTAAAACTATGGAGATTAGTTTAATTTAAGGCTAAATGGATGCTAACTGCAGACATTTCTACACTAATTGCTGAACTTTACAGACAATTTTGGTTTTGACTTGAAGAGGATTTTCTGGTTTAAAGGTTTAGATTTTAGCAGCTCCTATGTGGATATGGATTTGAGAGAACAAATGAATTAAGTTAAAAAACCCCACACAACCATCTAGCATTGACTATGACTTATCCTGTAGTGCTGTTTTTTCCCATTAAGGTTGATCTTATCTCAGGAGAATTTGTTTGCTCCTTCTTTGCCCCTCTCAGGAAAAAATCAAGGGTCACTAAATAAAATTAATCTACAGCAGGTAATTTATTTTTCCAAGGAGACTTTTGTACTCTCTTTCCCCTGCATAAGATCTAAATGTTGTCTTACAAAGTACAGACAATCTTTTAATTTCATTTTTTGGGGATCTTTACATAGTATTGGCTATATTTACTGAGAATAATTCCACTTGGGGGAAGGAAGATGCAGTTCATTACTAAGGAGCTATGGACTTAAAGACAGGTTTCCCAATATTCCCAACACTGACAACAAGTCTTTCTACATCTTGAACAAGTCACTTCATCCATCACCTACAGTCAGTCTGAGAAGGGAAACAGTCATGTGAACTACTGCCTAAAGCATAGCAAAAGAGTGGTAGCAAATACTTTGTTCGGGGGTAGGCAGGAGAGATGATAAAAGGCTTCTCAGCAAAAGAAGGAGCCACAGAGACAGATAGGGTGGAAACCTGTCTTCAGGTTTCACCATTTCCATGACGATAGTGACAGAGCCACCATTTTCTTCAATGGGTTCAGCAGGTTATTCAGCACATGCAGGCATGCACGCTAAACAGCAGTAATATTTATGATGCCCCTTAAGCACTTATAATATGCATTTGCAGTGGCATAGCTAATGTAGGGACGCAGAGTTAAAGGATTTCCTGTCCCTTGAAGTTTGTAGCCCTGCCACTGGCAGTACAATCCTTGGATGCTGTGTCCTGAAATGCTGGCACAATGTGTATGCATGTTTGTGGAGTGGTTCTTGCCTCTTTCTTCCACACATGGTCTCCCTCTTAATTAATTCAGATTTCTAATGCATGCAGAAAAAAAGAGCCAGAAATGGCCAGTTATTAGTATTCAGGCTGAGCAAATAGTTATTTAATTGCTGGGCAATGGAGAGCAGAGTTGCACTGCCCGAGACAGCACTTACGTTAAAAGAGAGCTCTGACAGACTGAGATGCCTCCCATAGGACCCAATGTGAAAACTGACATCTTTTTCCACAACAGGCTCACGAAACAAGATTAGACTAATTGATCTGATACTGCAAAACTGGCACAGAAACAATAGGGTTAAAACTGTTGTAAGTGGAAGAGAAGCTCTTTATCTCAATAAGCAGTCTACACATAGAGCTGAGGGGTATCATCTCCTCTTGAGGCACACACAAGGGCCAGCATTAACCCTAATCACATCTACAGGACACTATACCCCTAACTGCTCTGTGGGCACTGAATACTGAGACAAGATACTGCTTTTCTGCTTAAAGCATTTTTCTCCTGTAGCTTTTGCACCAATTTTGAAGCATCAAATCAATTAGTCTAATCCTGTTTCATGTGATCATCGTAAGAAGATGCTTATTTCTAGTCCAGTGCCACAATAAGACAATGACACACTGCGGGTTGTTCCAATTACAATTGTTAATACTTCTGAAAGAAATCTGATCTTTGCAAATATATTGCTTCTCAATGTGTTGGCATCAAAAACTTTCTTTTGGGAATGGGTGCCCCCAAATTGTCAGATTTTTCAGATGTTCTACAATTTTGTAAAGCATTAAGTAAATACAGACTTGCCATTTCACTCTACAAATATGCGCCCACTTTCAAATGCACCAGTTTGTTTCCACACAGAAGAAATCAGAGGAGCTGCTTCTCCATCTTTTCAATTTCACATTTACATTCAAACCTGAAATACCAACATGTAGTACGAAATTCTGGTTTTCCACGAGTAATGATATAATTCCTTAGATAATAAAATCACAGAGTTTTTTTAGGGTTGAAAACTGATGCCTTTCTTCTCTTGGCTTGGGGTCTGATTTGTGTTATTTGAACTAATGCTTGGGATAATATGTTAATATAACTAAGCAGCATGGAAGGGGGTTTTGCTCCCCCCCCTTTTTTTTTTAAACCTCCAATTCCCAGCAATTGCCCTGTGCTGGAGCCTATAAGGAAGAAGACAAAGGATTCTTTTACACTACTCATAATGTAAGGCATTTTTTCTTTTGGAGACTACAATTTGGCCTGCAGAGAACACAAAGGGGATAAAATAGGACCAAACTGACACCTGTAAGCTTTTGAGATGTTGAACTGAGATACCATGCCAACTTTTAATGTTACACAGATTGTATAGGAAACAAGATAAGAAATCCATCTCTCAAGCTGATTTAAGGTAGAACAGGTGTGACTTACAGTTGCCAGCCTCTGTATCAGCACTTACACTTCATCAGATGTGATTAATTCATGTTTCAAATGAGGAGATAACTCTAAAGACTATTTGATGAAAAGGAAAGCAACTCGTAAAATTAGGCATGAAACCCATCTATATCAGCAGCAGGGCTTACAGCCTTTGGCACCACTTGCTTGAAAGCCTCTAAGAGTGTATTATTGTACACAGATGCCTGAGGCTAATGCAGATGCTGATGACTATGCTGTATTAAAATCTCATACCTTGCAGCCTTCACATGTGATGACTCCATAGTGTATTCCAGAGGACTTATCACCACAAATTTTGCATGGTATCACTTCAATTTGTGCTGAAAAAGAAAACAAGACAAATATTTTGAGTATGTAATTCTATTTAATTTCTTTCTTTCTCAAAAGAAGATCTTAAAAACTAGATCTAGACAGCAGATAACCTGTTCAGCCCCCTGACAATATAAAACTGCTTTGTATTATACTGTGTGTTCCTGAATGCTTTGATTTAGCAAATTTTAATTGCTTCACGTTATGTAGTTTCTACCATACCCCACAAAACTCTTCAACAATTTAAGATATCTCACAATTAGAAGGTTTTTCCTCATATTCTTCTTTTTTGTTTTTACTTGTTAATTTCATCATCTTTATTGGTAATGACAGTCATTAGAGGTCCTAAATAATTATCTAGATTGTTCCTGCTTACACATTTCAAATATTCATGACTTTTCATTTTGCCAAGGTAGAATTACATGGTATATTGTAATGCATTTTTCAAAGCAGTAGAGATGATGAATTTTTCACATCCTTCAGATTATGACTTTAAAACACAAAGATACCAACCCCACTAGCAGAGATGGGCTTGCAAATGATTGCTTAACTTCTTCTCTTCAAGCTGTTTTTTTCAGCACCAGGTCATGAGCAGGCAAGGCCCACAGACTGAGTTTAAGTAGCCAGTGGCTGTGTGCTGGGAGAGGCAGGTACTATCTGAAAATAGTTTTGAATGTGGATGTTCGAATATGGATATGTTTCAGATCCTTTTACAAACATAATGGTCATTTAATTCAGAGAAGGAAAACATATTTCACTACCTTCCATGGTTTTTTTCTGCTAACACAGCTCTTTGCTTCCCTCAACTGCTTTGAATCCTGTGTGTGTTTCCTTTGATGATGCTGTAGGAGCTCATACTCTGAAATGTATGGAAGGACTGTGTCTTTATTCTAGTCAGATGCATTGAGAAGAAATGGAAAACCTATTTTCTTTCCCTTTCGTTTGTTTTCCTATGTGGGATGCATGCCTCCCTGCAATTCTCCTGCCACTTGGAAGTAGCATCATACTTGTTAAGGATCAGTACTCCTGGTAGATGTCCTTCCTCCATGCCCAGGGCAACAATAGCAGCAGTTCTCTACAACACAAGTCACTCATCAAATCCTTGGGTAGCAAAGCTGAGAGATTGTGTAGTAGGGCTACCCTGAGCATAAGGATTGCTAAGTGTTAGTACTTTAACTGGAGACATTCAACTCTGAAGGACTGGGAGACAGGGAAACAAGATTATTGTCCAGATGCTCATCCTAAGGAGAGCATCCCATTTCAAACCTGTGGACAGTCAAAAAGGTTATAAATGCTGGAAAAAACCTGTACTTAAAAATGACTGCACATTGTATGCTAAGCACTAAGCATGCTTGTACAGTGGATGCTGTGACAAAGTAATGGTATAGTCTGGATTTTGCCCTGTTTCTACATATGGTTATCATTCACCACTCTTAGGAGAAACCAAGAGTTTCCTAAGAGTTACCTTCCTATTACCACGTGGTTAAACAACCAAAACTCAGAACCATGTCCTGCAGAGCCACCACATTTGCCACTGGAAGCTGCACTGCATGTCCTACTCCCCTAGCCCTCTAGTCAGGGTAGAGGCATACCAAGGTAAACTCCACAAGGTGAATGCTAGCAGGTCCTCTTCTCTGGAAAGTCAAGTAACTATTCCCTTGGGACACTGTATCCCAAAGGAACCAGGGAAGAAGGACGTTCATGGATGGCTAAAGAGACATTAGTTTTCCACTGTAAGCTCAGTTTCCTGAGATGCTGTCTCTGATCAAGCACATTTTTAGGCAAGGCTTAGACAAGCAAACCAGTCTTTAAACTACTACCAATCCAGGATGGGTAGAATTAATCCTATTGTAGGAAACAGCAACTTGTTAATATATGCTGGATGGAGATGACCCAGAACCAAAATCTTGCCTGTCTCTGTACTTAAGAAAGTTCATATCTAGAAATAAAATTTTCTATGTCATCCACAATTTTTGTGTTAGCTTCTGTAACCCATTTTGTTTTCATGAACTAGGTGGTGCTAGTTTCTTTCCCTTCTTAAGAAACTAATACACATTAGCCATCCTGGCATGATAGATGCATAAAAGAGGCAGCAATTCCTTACAGAAAAGCATCTGCAGTTCTTGACAATTTTGGGTAGGTTGATCCTACCCAAAAATTCCTATGCCTTATCCTCATTGAGATAATTAAAACATTTAAACATGCACCTCCAGGTACTGCTGTTTGAGAGGATAGTTTGACTAATTGCTCACAGGTCTTTGCTTGGGTCACATGGAGGGAACAAGGCTCAGGTCTGGGGCCACATGCTGCTTTATGTTGACAAGCCTCAAAGACATATGTCAATGTCAGAGGCAGGAACTACAGTGGGACTCTGAGGACATCTTCAGGAAAAGACAAGACAAAGGAAGAAAGAAAACCCCAAAACAATATGAAGGTACTTTTAATGTGACTTGCATATACAGTTTGTAACTGTGATAGGAACAGAGACAGAAGAATTGATCCTGTAACACTCATTGCATTTAGCACTGTACTCGTTACTGTGAGCAATCAAAAATTCCATGCATGACTTGCAATTATAAGTACTACATTAATGGTATTTGTGGACCAGGTTAGTAAATGTTAAGGCTCCGGGTTTCAATTAATATGAAATAAATACTTTAGACTTGTGACTCAGCAGTTAATTTAAACACTTATTCAAAACTAACCATTCTATAAATTAGTAAATACAAGATGTGTAGGAAATTGCTACCATGGCTCCTTAGAGCACTCACAGAAAAGGCAGCCTCTTTAGGACACATAAGGCATTTGAAGAAGTTTGGAAAAGTAGACTCTGCCACTGTCTCCTAGGCATTTCTTTTTGTTCATAAGACAGCAAAACAGTTTAAGGATTCGTAACAGAAAACTTGAGCCATTAATTGTACAGGCCAGATGAAAAAGAAGCCACTGTATTCCCAGAAACCTCTTGAATTACTGTAATTAACACCCAGTGTACCAGGTTTCTTTTGCAGATTTAATGATTGTCAGAGGCTACTACACCTTTTTCACATTGTATCTTTGCTCAGCTGCCTATAATTTTATGTTGTTTTTCTTCTTCCCTTCTCCTCTTAGACCAACAAACAGTTCAGGGACCTGTATATCCTACATCTCTTTATAGCTATTATAAAATAAGCAGCTCGCTTCTGAATTCCTTACAAGTGTAAAAGGCATTGATTCAGTACCACTTCCTAAATTTTGAGGCAAAAATGGAATGAACTAATAATAGTGGAGTTGCCGCAATGATAACTTTCAGCAGCACAGAAATAGAGCTTATTTTCTCCCAGTGTAGTAAACATGAGGAAGGACTAAGAGCAAAAATACTTATCTCCACTTTTAAAGTCCTTCTACTTGCCTTCTTACCCATCAACTTTAATAATGTGAATGAGAATAATGGCTCCTGTCTCTTTTCAGGCAATAACACAGGTGTCAGCTGTCCATTTGTCCCATTTTTCAACAAGCGCATTCAGTTTTCATCCTGTCTTGAGACGTATCACTCGATAAAAGCCTGCAAAACCACCATCACCCTGATGTCTAACGAAACATTTATAATGTTTGGATACATATTGCATTGTGATTGATACTTATCAGCAACTGTAGCTTCTCTCATCAGTACCACAGGGTCATCTCGTCTCTCTGAGGTATTCATCTCTTATTTTATACTTAAGTTTAAAGTTCTCTGGGGCTGGGAACTGCCTCTGGTTTTATATGGCACCCTACAAATTAGAATGCCGCAATGGAAATTAATTAATTCTACATGACTAGTAATAATAACCTACAGATGCTGGGTTTACCACCTGGAACCTAATTCATTCTCTCAGGACAACAGGAAGAAGGGTGAAATTCTATTAAGGAAGCAAATACAAAATTATCTTACACATTTGAAATGAACACTTGGATAAAAACAAATATGCACTTAAAACAGTCTTCAAACCAAGCCTTAGCTGGTTTTCTCAAATGCTGCCCCAAGAGAAATAAACAAGTACACCCATCTGCTTTTTTTTCTCTTTTTTTTTAACCAGCAAAAAATTTACTCATGGGCAAAAAATTCATTATCCTAAAAGTAGGGCAATAATCAGGTTTCAAGAATTGTTATATTCATGAAATTAGGAATAAACCTGGAAGGAGATATGCAGCTAATTTGTTGAATTCCTCTTGAAACAAAGATAAGAGTCAACAAGGCAGCTAATGTGTCCATTGTGTATTTGTGAGGACTGCCACTCACATGCATATGTCGTGTAACAAGAAAAAAGCAAAGTTCACATTTTATATAATCTCAGTTTAACAACTGAGGAACTTCCTTCAGGAGAGACAGGACTATAATCTCCCAGACTTGTAGCTTTGGTTCCAAGGGGAAAAAAGACTCAAGCTTTCAATATTTAGTTCTTGATCAAAAGAGGGTGCTAAAGTATGCTGGGCATGAACTTTGAAGAAGTCCTCTCTCTAATTTGTTGATCCAGGAGGGATTGCACTTGGAAACATCAAGGCTAATCAGAGAACCGATAGCAAAAAAAGCAGCTCCTTCACCTTCCAAAAATTCCCATCATCCTTAAGCTGGAGTTCTTTGAAAAATGCTGGTAGATTGGCCCAGTTCACTTTCATGTTTGTATCCCTAAGTGATTTCAAATTAATTATATTCAGCATTTTTATCTAGTTGCCAACTCTGCTTTTTTTATCCTGACCTCTGAGTAAGACAGGCTTTTTTCCTTGCACTTTACCATCAATAGAAGTTTCCACTATAAGTTAGGCTGCCAGCTAGATTTTGGTATCCCCTTTGCCATTGGGTTAGATATTCTGTGGCTTCACAGCAAGACTTCAGGTGCTTTGCATTTGTATTTAATAATCTGAAAATATACAGCTGAGGATACTAGCTATGTTTTCAGCCTCTGTCATACGTCATGCAGTGAGAACTACATAGTTAGCAATATCTCAGCAAGCTAATTAATGCTAGCTAATGTTAATTTATGTGTCTGCAGAT